ATCTACATGGCCCAGAATATGATTCCCTTGAGAATTTGACTATATTTGCATCAACAGAAGTTACCCTTCAATAGTGCTTCATGTCATATTTACTCTTAAATCAGAGATGATTATCGGATATCTTAACTTCTAATGCTTTCGTATATGCAAGTATCTTTTTTCTTGCTTCAGTATATTTATTCATGAGAAGTTTTGTATGGAATTCAATTGATTTTGTGTCCTTCTTAAATATGCATATTGTGCCTTTTTAAATTGCTAACACCCATTGCACCCTACCCTGCGTGCAGAGTCTAGTTAAACTACACTCTGCCTAGTAGAGACCATATTACAGTTTAGTAGCCCCGCCCCCACGACGGGTACCAGTGACAGTTTGGGTAAATCACTTTTGACCTACGCGCTGACCTTCCACCAATCAGCGAGCTTGAAGAAACATGCGCCAAATGCGTTCTAATTAAATATGCGCATGTCATTGGTCAATTCCGGGCTCAACGATGACGTCAGAAGGAATGACCATATAAAGAACGTCGGTCAAATTTGGCCGACGAACACTGATTGGCGCGGTGAGTTCACAGGTTTATTTTAGTTTGAAAGAGTGAAGACGAAGCTCTCTTTTAAGAAGTGAAGTCAAACGAATGCAAAGGGTAATTGCACCCTCAAACGCCCTAAAAGCCATGATACATTTAAGATACATTGAGACCACTAAGAACAAAATAGGATACTAGTTAAGTCTTAAATATGCATATTGTGCCTCTTTAAATTGCTAACACCCATTGCACTCTCAAACGCCCTAAAAGCCATGATACATTTAAGATACATTGAGACCACTAAGAACAAAATAGGATACTAGTTAAGTCTTAAATATACATATTGTGCCTCTTTAAATTGCTAACACCCATTGCACTCTCAAACGCCCTAAAAGCCATGATACATTTAAGATACATTGAGACCAATAAGAACAAAATAGGATACTAGTTAACCTTTAGCGTGCTGCCGGCGGACTCGTCCGCCGAGACTAAAATGTCTCTCACAACTGCCGGCGGACCCGTACGCCCGATTTCAAACTTTTAAAAACTTTACTTTTTCGCGCCATTCGTATTGTCCAATTAGATTGCCCGATTTATTCAGTGCCTAACATGACTTCCTGTTGACCTAGAAATGGTGATATTTCGAAAAATAATTCTCAATTCAACAATTTAAACAGTGTTTTAGTCGTTTTTAGTGAACGGATCGTACAAAATGGTGGACAAATACGATCACAACGAAAATGTGGAGGAAATGGATTACAATTTCGAGCTCTTTAGGCTCTTGGAAGCCGATAACGGTCATCGAAAATAGAAACTAGAATATTTTCTGAATTGAAAAATTGAACATTCGATCGCTGCAAATTCAGATTTGGATTCTGACCAGACGAAGAGGCGGAGCGGCGGATTCCGGAGGAGTATTCATGGTATATTTATGCCCAGTCGTGTTAATGTACGAAAAAATTCATGAGAACATTTTTTTCATGAGCCAGGCCACTGTATCTTCCCTTTGTGAAAATTTTATCCAGATTCATTCAGTAGTTATTGAGATATTAATTATTTAGTCCAGGTATATCATTTTTTGCACTCTTTGAAAAATAAGCCAGTTGCGTGGGATATATTTGCTGAAATAAGGCAGCATGGTAAAGGTTAAGTCTTAAATATGCATATTGTGCCTCTTTAAATTGCTAACACCCATTGCACTCTCAAACGCCCTAAAAGCCATGATACATTTAAGATACATTGAGACCACTAAGAACAAAATAGGATACTAGTTAAGTCTTAAATATGCATATTGTGCCTCTTTAAATTGCTAACACCCATTGCACTCTCAAACGCCCTAAAAGCCATGATACATTTAAGATACATTGAGACCACTAAGAACAAAATAGGATACTAGTTAAGTCTTAAATATGCATATTGTGCCTCTTTAAATTGCTAACACCCATTGCACTCTCAAACGCCCTAAAAGCCACGATACATTTAAGATACATTGAGACCACTAAGAACAAAATAGGATACTAGTTAAGTCTTAAATATGCATATTGTGCCTCTTTAAATTGCTAACACCCATTGCACTCTCAAACGCCCTAAAAGCCATGATACATTTAAGATACATTGAGACCACTAAGAACAAAATAGGATACTAGTTAAGTCTTAAATATACATATTGTGCCTCTTTAAATTGCTAACACCCATTGCACTCTCAAACGCCCTAAAAGCCATGATACATTTAAGATACATTGAGACCGTTAAGAACCAAACAGAATACTAGATACATCTGTTGTTTCTTGTGGGTGTGTCAATTTAAAAAGTGATTTTTCTCCTCTCATTATATCACTTACTCGTATTACAGAAATGTCTGATTAAGAATGAGTTAAATATTAATTTCATAATTGATATCAAACATTTGGGTAAGCATTATCAACTGCGTGAGATAACATTTTGATAAAATAGCAGGGCCATTTCATATGTTGCAATAATTTAGTATTTAAATGGTATCACTTTTGGAACTATTTATAGAAGGGAATAGTAATATGGGATTGTTAGTACACTATTAGTATTTTTTATGTTCACACATATATATGTTATATTATTAGGAAATTTTATATTAAAATTTTGTCCCATTTGAATTTTGTGTCAACCCCTCTTTTATGATTTTATCACTTATAAGACATGTAAAAAGGTGAACAACTATAAGATCATTTCTGAAATCATTAAGAACATTAGAAAGGTTCAGACCTTGTAGAGCATTCAGTGGATTATACCAAAGACTAGGAATGCATAAGTAGGGAGCAGATGAAATGATATTTCCAGTTCTTAGCATTTGTTATTCATATTTTGACCAAGTATGGACTAAGCCAGTCTAAGAGGCTTCTATAGCAAGAGTTTGTCTTGGAACCTTTTTATTATCAAGTTGAAGCAATTTAAAGAATTCTACTTAGCTGATGTTGGTTACTGTTAAAACTGAAAGGACCATAAAGCTGAATATATCCAATAATTCAAAACCTAAAAACCATATACATTTTGTCAATAGAACATTGTGTTTTGATTCTAGAAAACATTCTAATTTCGATGGGCTTTATTATATGGATGTGTTGATAAAACAGGATAACAAATCTTCAGATATCTGAATCATACTCATATATACCTTGTAACATTGACGGCAAATCACCAAATATGTGCCTTTGCGGTTTCATAGAAAAAACTATTAGGAATTTATCGCTATCAATTGAATGATCAACATATTAAGGAACAAAGTACAAAAATGATGAAATTAAGTAGTGATATTTTACTATACTTAACATTAAGTTGTTATAGTTTAATATTTTACAATCCTGATCACTAATAGGTGTACCACTCCAAAGTTCTTTCATGATAAAATTTAGTTGGGGAATACACTATAAGTTGCTGAACTAGAATGAACATTGATCTGGATGTTAGCTTTTTAAGCAATACCTACATACCCATATAATGTTTTCGAAAATAAAAAGGAAGAACTCATTTAAGAAAATACTAAGTAAGAGTAGCGGAAATCCTGGTAAGTTGACTTTTCTTGAATTTTTATGTCACCCCAAACAAGAAGTGGTGACATTGTGTTAACAGTTACCATTTGGCCATTCACCATGAGCAGTACATTAGCTGTCACGGTAACAGTTTTGCAATTGCAATTTTGCAATTGTGACATTTCATCAGAATCTTACATTGGGTGAAGTTAGAGAGCAAAGGTTTTATCTTCAACATAATTAGGTTTGTATATAGTGAGGAACTAATAATTAAAACATCTCCCTTGCAAAAGCTGGATACTGGACTGCAACTTCCCCAAGAAGGTGTAGGGTACCTCAAAATAGTGTTCCACTTGGGAGCTCCTCTGCATACATGTAAATGTTACATGTATGAAAGAGTTTCAGTGGTGTTCCACTTCACAGACTTTATATCTGTGTCATTACAACCTGTTGATTTACCCCCCCCCCCTCTTAAGCAATTCTGTAAGTTAACAGTAAGATTTATTTTACAATAATTTGAACAATTGCCATGTATATAATGCTGTAAATATTGTGAGGATGACCTATCATGGTTGTCATGGTTAGTATGTTGCAGAATGCAATTGTAGATATAGCACTAATAGGAAAGATGTGAATTTGCAAGTAATAATTTGTGATTATATGACAGGCATTAGAACTAGGGGCATCACCTTATTAAGAAACAAGTATAGCTGGTCATACAGTCCTTCCAGGTATACAATTCAATATATAGGTTAAATGAGAATTATTTTGTTTTGAAGTATATCCTTAGAATAATTCTGCCAGAAATATCAAGTTTGTAATATTTCTTGGATGAATATTTTGGGAGTTTCATACCCATAGTGTCTGAGTCTTGTTGAGGCTCTGAAAACAAAATTGAAATAGGTATATAGAGCTTCATCTGATATAATGTTGTAATAACTAATAGTGTCTTGGTGCCATGGTAACATAATAGTTTCTTGGTTCTATGGTAACATTACTAATAGTGTCTTGGTACTTTACTGCAATCATTATCCAAATACTCTATTGAATGAATTAGTCATGAATCCAACTCTATTGAATGAATTAGTCATGAATCCAACTCTATTGAATGAATTAGTCATGAATCCAACTCTATTGAATGAATTAGTCATGAATCCAACTCTATTGAATGAATTAGTCATGAATCCAACTCTATTGAATGAATTAGTCATGAATCCAACCCTATTGAATGAATTAGTCATGAATCCAACTCTATTGAATGAATTAGTCATGAATCCAACTCTATTGAATGAATTAGTCATGAATCCAACTCTATTGAATGAATTAGTCATGAATCCAACTCTATTGAATGAATTAGTCATGAATCTAACTCTATTGAATGAATAAGTCATGAATCCAACTCTATCTAAAAGTTTGGAAGGACCAGTCTAAATCTCAGTAGTGTTCATAATTATTCATTTTTGATGTGTTTCAGTCGTAAATGTGGATGGAAATAAAAATGGGAACAATTTGACGACTAGGCGGAGCTTCTCAATGTCGCGTCCTAGTGTAGGAGAGAGTGACACCCCGAATACAAGCAGCCCCTTGAAGATCAACCCCAGCTCACAAGGTATGTCATGGGTATATAAATTCACTTCTTTCATTCAACTTTCATACTTAAGGTAGGGCTAGTAAGATGAATTAGCGTTTGTGTATCTGACGCAGAAGAGCTCTTGTATATTTTATTAAAGGTGAAAATCCCAAATAACATTAATATCAGGATTTGGATTAGCCTTGCCCAAGGCGGTCTCTTTTACTTATCTTGATTTCTATTATGACCGCCTTGTACCCAAGAGAAAGCCAAGTGCTTTACCGACCCAATGTTTATGTCGGTAAAATTTAGCCAATCAACGACAGCCCTGATGCGTTAGCTCGTTATTATGCACCGTCAAAAACAAGTACAATTTTCACCGGGACTTTTCACGAACAAATCTTGCACGAATTCATTATGAAAATACAAATATTTTATCAGATAAATATCAGAGTTTAGTGGATGCCGGAACATCGATCAGATACCCGCAGTTGAGAAGATTTCATCAAGAAACGTTGAAATGAACACTGAATTCGAATATCTAGGCTGAGATTCAATCACGACTACATGGCCGGACTAGGTCTTCATGCATTTTCATCACTATAATTCAGTTTTAAATCAACATTGCATTGCATGATAATTTATATTAATGACTGCTTACATTCCAATGTACATGTACATTTAATTACATAATATATTGTAAATCTAAAGAAACACTCGATCAGATCGTTGAATTTTGAAGTCGTAGACGGGTAGTTTGAAGAGTTGGTAGTTTGCTTTGTTTATGCAGGTCAACCTGATAACGTTTTTATTGGTCAATCAGCCTGAAGTCACACGTCGTGTCCATGCGATCTTGTCAATCAATGTTTCGCGATACCCCTTACAGCGTAGGTAATATGGAAATCTCGAAACCGCTGAATAAGTTAGCATGATATCAGCGGAGATGTATTGGATTGTACAAGGCGGTAATAATTCAAGATCAGATAAGTAAAAAATACCGACTTGGGCAAGGCTAGATTTGGATTTACTTCTCAAAATGCAGGAAACTTGTTGTTTCCCATCTATTTTGGGATTTTAGTTCCCTTTTCAATAAAAGATGGCATAAGTGTATAAAATCATCTCTAATCCATATTTGAAAACCTCTATACACACACTGCTCTTCCCCGATACTGTAGCCTGTATTTCTTTAAAAAGGATACAGGTAACAGTGAAATTGCTAATGGGGGAACGTTTGTTTATTTCCATATTCTGAAGGTATACTGGATTTCATATACATTCCAAGTGTTCCCCTGGAACCATATACATTGTATAGACTCATAGAGCAGTTTCTATTATATGTGGAGGAACTGTTCCACTGTTCAGAACCAACCACAGAAAACAACAATGAACAAAGTTAAATCCCCATTTGTTGTGGGTTAGGTAAAATGTTAATGATGTCATATATTACTATAGAAACAACAGTGATGTCTAACGTTAAAATTATATATTTGTTTAGATGCTCGATCTGGTAAATATGTGACTGACGTCATAGTTTATGTGATACGTCATATCTTCCAATCTCAATCACATCATATGATGATTGGTCCATTTTGCCTTGATGATTTGCCTTATAGAATCAGAATCACGTGAATGGTACAAACCCATTCCACAGTATGAAGGGCTCCAATTATTTTGTCAGGACATTCATAAAGATATGGAAATAAGATCATTTCATAGAATATTTTCCTTTAGTTGGAATTCTATCATTGCTTTGAAAATAAAGAGTGCTTGATTGTGACATTTTGTTTCTTGGAAGGGCTCCATATGACATTCTATGACATTGCGTTTCATGAAAAGGCTCCATATGACATTCTATGGTATTGTGTTTCTTGAAAATGCTCCATGTGACATTCTATGACATTTTGTTTCTTGAAAATGCTCCATGTGACATTCCATGACATTGTGTTTCTTGAAAAGGCTCCATATGACATTCTATGGTATTGTGTTTCTTGAAAATGCTCCATGTGACATTCTATGACATTTTGTTTCTTGAAAATGCTCCATGTGACATTCTATGACATTTTGTTTCTTGAAAATGCTCCATGTGACATTCTATGACATTGTGTTTCTTGAAAAGGCTCCATGTGACATTCTATGACATTTTGTTTCTTGAAAATGCTCCATGTGACATTCTATGACATTGTGTTTCTTGAAAAGGCTCCATGTGACATTCTATGACATTGTGTTTCTTGAAAAGGCTCCATGTGACATTCTATGACATTGTGTTTCTTGAAAATGCTCCATGTGACATTCTATGACATTTTGTTTCTTGAAAATGCTCCATGTGACATTCTATGACATTGTGTTTCTTGAAAAGGCTCCATATGACATTCTATGACATTTTGTTTCTTGAAAATGCTCCATGTGACATTCTATGACATTGTGTTTCTTTAAAAGGCTCCATATGACATTGTGTTTCTTGAAAAGGCTCCATATGACATTCTGTGACATTGTGTTTCTTGAAAAGGCTCCAAATGACATTTTGTTTCTTGGAAGTGCTCCATATAACATTCTTTGACATTGTGTTTCTTAAAAGGGCTCCATATGACATTCTATGACATTGTGTTTCTTTAAAAGGCTCCATATGACATTGTGTTTCTTGAAAAGGCTCCATATGACATTCTGTGACATTGTGTTTCTTGAAAAGGCTCCAAATGACATTTTGTTTCTTGGAAGTGCTCCATATAACATTCTTTGACATTGTGTTTCTTGAAAAGGCTCCATATGACATTGTGTTTCTTGAAAAGGCTCCATGTGACATTTTATGACATTGTGATTCTTGAAAAGGCTCCATATGACATTCTATGATATTGTATTTCTTGAAAATGCTCCATGTGACATTCTATGACATTTTGTTTCTTGAAAATGCTCCATGTGACATTCTGTGACATTGTGTTTCTTGAAAAGGCTCCATATGATATTCTACGACATTGTGTTTCTTGAAAAGGCTCCATGTGACATTCTATGACATTGTGTTTCTTGAAAAGGCTCCATATGACATTCTATGACATTGTGTTTCTTGAAAAGGCTCCATGTGACATTCTATGACATTGTGTTTCTTGAAAAGGCTCCATATGACATTGTGTTTCTTGAAAAGGCTCCATGTGACATTCTATGACATTGTGTTTCTTGAAAAGGCTCCATATGATATTCTATGACATTGAGTTTCTTGAAAAGGCTCCATATGACATTCTATAACATTGTGTTTCTTGAAAATGCTCCATGTGACATTCTATGACATTGTGTTTCTTGAAAAGGCTCCATATGACATTCCATGACATTGTGTTTCTTGAAAGGGCTCCATATGACATTCTATGACATTGTGTTTCTTGAAAAGGCTCCAAAAGACATTCTGTGACATTGTGTTTCTTGTAAAGGCTCCATATGACATTATGTGACATTGTGTTTCTTGAAAAGGCTCCATATAACATTCTATGATATTGTGTTTCTTGAAAGGGCTCCATATGACATTCTATGACATTGTGTTTCTTTAAAAGGCTCCATATGACATTGTGTTTCTTGAAAAGGCTCCATGTGACATTCTGTGACATTGTGTTTCTTTAAAAGGCTCCATTTGACATTCTATGATATTTTGTTTCTTGAAAAGGCTCTTAGGCAAGCAATTAGCATTCCTGATAAGAAACTGTTTCATGCTTAATGATTGACTATAAACTAAGAATAAGAATGACAGAAGCAGATAACCATGTTTAAAATATAACTCAAACATAACAGAATTCAATCCAAAATTCCTTTTTTGAATTCATATGAGTCTCTGACTATTTTTGGGTTTTGACTATACCTATATATAATTTATTGCTATTTTCAGATTATTTTTTTATTCGTCATTTCAAAAGATGTCCGAGTGATAATGAATTATTTGCAACAAGAATACTGATAATTGATCTTATTTTCTAAGCTAACCCATGAAAGAAATATCAGATTTGTAAAGTTTTAAATGGTAAATCAAGTGGAAAAAATTGGAATAAGCATGGAATTAAATGAATAGACATGCAGTCAACACTATCAATTGTATAGAAATGCCAAGAAATTTAATAATTTTAGAATTTTAATAAGATTTTGAAGGGAAATGGTGTTCAAAAATAGCTTTACTCTACACCTTAATGAACAACAATTGCAAATATATATTTACAAATTGAAAGACAGCATCAGTGGTGTTCACATGAATCCTAAATTATAAAATTGAATGATTTATTATAAATCTTGAACTTGGAGAGAAAGGACCTGAAGCAGATCTAACATAAAAAAATGTAATGCAAGGGTGAATTAACTATTATTAGAAAGATATCAAGTTGAACTATTATCTTTCTATTATTGATGATGCAAACGCATCTGGATGTCATTCTGTACTAGCACTTGTCAAATATACACTACTGTACTGTGTATACTTTTATTTGGAATTTTACATTAATGGTGAATGTCTTTTGGATAAATGAAGATTTCCTCTGCATTTATTCATTCATTTAGGTTGATGTTTACACTATAATTTTTTATTTTATTTTTTTTATTTCGTTTATTTCATAATACATCATACAAACAGATACAGGGCCTACGCCGAAGCATTATTGGCCCTGTTAAAGTAGTTACAATATAGGTTAAAAATAGGTCACAATGTAAAAATGATAGATATAAAACATATTTATGAACATGAAAATAATCGTGAAAACGTGAAGACAGGTCAGAGATATATGTACACTATAATGTTGTCATATATGATGGCTAAAATGTCATTAATGATGTCACTGATGTCATATTTGGGCATTCGAGCTAAAAATAGGAATTCAGTGTATATAAACACTTTTGCATATACCATTTTGAAAGATACCTGAAAATTACAAATCATTAAGGTCTAATACAATACAGAGCACTACAGTAGACAGAATGTGACAAATACAGGCAGAATCAGAACTGGAAATACAATACAGTTAAATGTTTCAAAAACACATGTGCATTGAAGCATTGAAAGGAGCATCATTAATATTGGTATTTCTCATTGGGAAGACTGAATTACACTGTATATTGATGCCTTCAAGCATGATCCTGCCATGATAAAGACTGAACAAAGCTAATTCTTTATTCAAAGCACATCTACGCATCTTCAGTTAATGATGGGAATTTTTGCTTCATTAATGACCAAGTTGTCATTTTATAACTACATCCATCTTATGATTATCATCATCATTAATGTTTCATCTTTTGTCATTGAAGAGACTATATATAGATGGATATATCTGATCTATTCTGAAAAGTATTGGAGTGATGGCATTAGGCAGGGTGTTTTGGTGATATATATGCTTCATTTATAAATGAACAGAACCAGGTAGTGGCATACTCTTTCATTAATTCTTGCTATTTTGCTTTTCTCCAGCACTCTTTGGTTCGTATACCTTGACTTGCTCAATATAAAGGAAACCATTTCCTTTTCTTATCACTTGTGATTTACAGTTGAAAGTATATTGTGGGAATGTTCAGTCTCAAATTCTCATAAATATAGCAAAATAACACCACTTGGGTTCACGATTCAAGTAATCATAAAAATGCCACTGCTTTCATTGTATCTTCTTGGAACAAGAGTTATTATCTAGTGGCACATTTTGCCATCATATCAGTTTGAGAGGCTGTACACGAAGCTGTCTTTTAAAGCAGATCTGAAATCAAGCTCTGGAAAGGGTAAATTGTATTATGAAACAGCATTAACTTTTGAAATGGGCAAACAAGCCCTGTCTGTAGCTGAAATATCATAAGAGCACTTGTATCTACTTGAATTAAATTATTGAGTTTTACATTGTGAAAGATCAGTATTATATCAGTTCCTAAATCTAGATGGTTATTGCTGTAAAAACAAATGGTGTGATGACATTCAGAATATTTATTGCTTTTGTTGGATGGATAATTGAAATAATATTCTTGTTATTCTTCAAAAATTATATATTGATGATCTTACATAATGAGCATTATTTTTTATTGATCCAATTATGATGGAGTAATTTACAAATGTTATTCATCATGTGACATGGTTATGGTTCAGTAAAAACAATGTTGTCAATCTGCCATGAATATTACACTGGTCTTGCTTATTTCAAGCCATTCCATGCCATTTCACCCTAAGTTATATGATTTTCTGGCATTTCTGAAGTATTTAGTTTTTCTATTTATATTTACTTTCTTTATTCCTTGCTTATTCTGCTAATTTTCACTTTATTTTCTGTTTGAAATCATATCCATCTTACAATTTCCTGGCCAGGCTTCAATAAGTGGATATATCTGATGCATAAGTGTTCTTTCTCAAACAGCCTATATAGTAATAGGAAACAATCTGAACAGAATGCAACTGAAAAATAAGTCAGAATACAATAACAAAGGAAATTACCAAAATATGACACTAAAAAGATGGAATATGAATACAAATAATTGCATATTATCCTCTATCTGAACTGAAAACTGTCAAAATTATTGGATATCTTATTTTAGCAAAAGCCGCAATGAGAAGAACACTTTCTGCGCCATCAGGTTCGTATATGGAGGTGTTCCTATGTGTACACTGTGAAGTCCTACCTAATGCAATTTGTTAATAAAATTGAGAGGGATCCTTTATTGACCGTGTGTTGTTCATTTGTGTGAAGTTGGAGATCTGCATGTTTTGTTTCATTTTTGTTCTAGAAAAAATGTACCTTTTCATTATGAAACGGATTATTATTATTATTATTATTATAACTTTTATTGACATATAGTATCATAACATGATTACATTAGTCAGAAGTATGGTAAACTAGATTGAAGTGTCATTATGGCAGACTATGATTTGACATTTATGCAACATTTAAAAGTTTATAGTTAAAATCATTTTTACAAACCATTGGATTTGGCATTTATTAATGAATGTTAACATTTTAAAAATTATTTGAATGTAGATGTTAGTGTGAAACATTACTAATTTGAGTATTACTAAGGACAGTAATTAATTTGAGTATTACTAAGGACGGTAATTAATTTGAGTGAGTGAGTACAGTAAAACCTGTCTAATCTGAGCGCCATTGAGACGGGCTTAAAGCATTCAGATTAGGAGGTGTTCACATTTCAAGGTTTTTGCATTTGCGAGATTCCGTATTCTGAAGAAATGTGAACACATTCTTGGTACATATTTAAAGTTCATTTGACCACAAAGCTCTACGGCATTTCAGAAATTTGAAAATTCGTGTCATGCTGGAAAGCCTTATTAAAATCAAGGCCATTCAAGTTTTTCCCCAAAGTTTTGATATCATAACAATATTTGAGCAATTTTGTATGAGACCGAAAAAAAGATTAAGATTGGAAGGTGTTGAGATTAGCCAGGTGTTTAGATATACAGGTTCTACTGTATAAGCAATTTACAGGATACAATTATATTTGCCTATTTCATTGTGTATCCACACTAAATTACCTCAGCACAATATATAAATGCTCTCCCAGGAAATGGTAAAGCTTCATAAGATAAGAAGTTTGCAAGTGCACAGACTTCCATTTATAAAGATAACATCCCTTGCTTTAGTAGATCACATATTCCACCTTTAAAGGTGCAACAATAAGTGCAGAGAGGTCATTCAATGATCATGGACCAGTGTCAAAATATATTTAAGTTTGGATATTTCATCAAGACTAACATATATTTTCATTATCTACAAAGAAACCCCCTGGATTAACATTATTTCAGCTGATATTGATCTTGAAACGTGGTGGATCTTAAAAATCTATAAGTGGGACTCCCTTTATAGAAGCTTTGAACTAAATTTACACTTCTTAATGCTCAAATTGATAGTTTATACATACATTTTAAGAAAATAGGTATGTCAAAGAAGGTGTTAAGCCAAATATTGACCTTATAGCTCAGAAAAATAAAAAATTTCGAATTTTCCATCTACAGTCCTTGATGCCCCTTTAAGGTAGAGGGTAAACTCACAACCTTACAGGAATAATGTGAATGAGGGAGGGGGATGCTGCTGAAATGAATATTTAAATTAATTAATGAGAATATATTATTACAATTTGTAACATTGAATGTCGATATTACAAAAAGGTGAACATGTTACTCTGAGCATAGATGTATATCAGCCTATATGTTATCATATACTCTACAACCTGTGTAGTCTTATATATTTCAACTGTTAAAATTGGAATCTGCAGGTGCTTCCACATGTACAGTTTTAAAATAAACAGATCTGCATGCTACCTATAAATGAATGAGTGCTTTGATGTTTTCAGACCAAACATTCAAGGGTGCAACAAAAGGGCTGGGGATGGTGCACAATCACTCGGAGTCACCTACTGGTTCCCATTCACCTGCCTTTGGGGGTAAGTAGCAAGTATTTCACCAAATCATCTCCTTCACTCTTACTTTTGATATACATTCTACTCGGTCCCATAGAAACAATTACAATGGAGGCTGACATACTACCCTTTCCTGCTTAGGGATCAGAATTTCAAAGCTTTAGGTCTCTGCCCCCCCCCCCCATGTCCCTGATTTCCTTTCTCCAATACTCTCCCTTGATTCCCCTCAAATTGAACCTAAGCTTGGGTGATTCACCAATTGACTGCAACAGATATCTTTTGAAAACTGGAGATATTAGCAATTCATCAAGTCTGATGAAGAAACTCTAACTTCTAGTATAGATGGTAGCACCAGTATATTATCAACATTTTAAGACCCACATCTCTGGTAGTACCAGTATATCATCAGCATTTTTGGAACCTACATCTCTAGTAGTACCAGTGTATTATCAGCATTTTGGGACCCACATCTCTGGTAGTACCAGTGTATTACCAGCATTTTGGGATCCACATCTCTCATAGTACCAGTGTATTATCAGCATTTTGGGACCCATATCTCTGGTAGTACCAGTGTATTATCAGCATTTCGGGACCCACATCTCTGGTAGTACCAGTGTATTATCAGCATTTCGGGACCCACATCTCTGGTAGTACCAGTGTATTATCAGCATTTTGGGACCCACATCTCTGGTAGTACCAGTATATTATCAGCATTTTGGGACCCGTATCTCTGGTAGTACCAGTGTATTATCAGCATTTCGGAACCCGCATCTCTGGTAGTACCAGTATATTATCAGCATTTTGGGACCCACATCTCTGGTAGTACCAGTATATTATCAGCATTTTGGGACCCACATCTCTGGTAGTACCAGTATATCATCAGCATTTTTGGAACCTACATCTCTGGTAGTACCAGTGTATTATCAGCATTTTGGGACCCACATCTCTGTTAGTACCAGTATATTATCAGCATTTTGGGACCCACATCTCTGGTAGTACCAGTGTATCATCAGCATTTTTGGAACCTACATCTCTAGTAGTACCAGTATATTATCAGCATTTTGGGACCCACATCTGTGGTAGTACCAGTATATTATCAGCATTTTGGGACCCACATCTCTGGTAGTACCAGTATATTATATCAGCATTTTGGGACCCACATCTCTGGTAGTACCAGTGTAGTATCAGCATTTTGGGACCCACATCTCTGGTAGTACCAGTGTATAATCAGCATTTTGGGACCCACATCTCTGATAGTACCAGTGTATTATCAGCATTTTGGGACCCACATCTCTGGTAGTACCAGTATATTATCAGCACTTTGGGACCCATATCTCTGGTAGTACCAGTGTATTATCAGCATTTTGGGATCCACATCTCTGGTAGTACCAGTATATTATCAGCATTTTGGGACCCACATCTCTGGTAGTACCAGTGTATTATCAGCATTTTGGGACCCACATCTCTGGTAGTACCAGTATATTATATCAGAATTTTCGGATCCACATCTCTGGTAGTACCAGTATATTATATCAGCATTTTGGGATCCACATCTCTGGTAGTACCAGTATATTATATTAGCATTTTGGGATCCACATCTCTGGTAGTACCATTGTATTATCAGCATTTTGGGATCCACATCTTTGGTAGTACCAGTAGCATTTTTGGAATCTACATCTACATAAACTCTTGCAAGCTCTTGAATCTAAAACAGACAAAAATATATAAATCCTAAAAATCCTATAAATCAGAATGTCTTTTATCTTGGCAGTTGTATTTCATAAAAAAATTATATTTAGTTATTTTAACCTACAGGTGAGTTTTCAGTCCTTCAGTTAAACTTCAACATGAAATATTTATATTAGGATTAGTATCAAAACTTGATGCAAATCCTTGTTTGAATAAAAAAAGCCAGAGATGATCTGTAATATGTCAAACCTTAATAACATTGAAAGAGTTCATATAAAATCAATCCTATTCATTCAGATTCTTCTGTTTATTATGGATTTATCAAAATTGATGAAATCTAAACTGATAGTTGTCTCATAAATCTTGGAATAAAATGGTCCAATGCATTAACTATCAGTGAATAAGACTCAGTTGTCATGGTTATGATTTTGAAATAATAAACAAATATGTTGTCAACATGCAACATTAAATAGACTTGCCAGATTAGAAGGTCTGTCTCATATTTTGGTGTTGATTTTTATTAAATGGGCAATGATCATTGTGGGTGTTTCATTCATGGGACATAGTTTAGGGTTGGGATGTTAATTGAGTTATGTTTGATTGAATGATTTCATTGCATGGTTGATACTCATTTGAACTAGTTGCCTCTTACCAAATCACTAAGGCCAAGGCAAATAGATAAATGTTCCACATAGCAGTACTCTTAATTGGAACTTTACAATTTATGGATCCAAGTCAGAGTTCAATGATTACATAGAGATGACCTTAAAATAATATTAATATGAATAAGTTTTATAAACAGTACAGTAATATCTAATCTGAAGTCACAGCTGTAATTGGCCAAAGGTCTTCTAAATAGATTCTGTTCACATTTCAAGGTTTATTTACAAGGGAGACAATTCAATTACACAGATGCGAGTAGGTAGTTACCAGGTTCGCCACCAGGTGGCTGATTCGGGGGAATTAACATGGCAGGGTATTATAAAATTCTACGAGGCGATAAAATGATATCACGCAGACAATATAAACTAGAAATTAGAATATCAACTGAATATTTGTCACTATATTTTTACAATTATAAGTAAATAAAATGAACATGTAAACATTGTTTTTTGTCAGTTTTATGTCAGCTTTACAGTTAATATTATTGTGACTATTGTGACGGACCTATTTTCTCAAAAGAGAATAAATTATCTGACCTAATTTCCAACAATATTGTGGCGCGAAATGCAAATGTGATATCACACGGATATGCGTGAGATAAACGATATCACACGCATATGAGTTTGATAAACGATTTTCTGGAAAATATCACACGGATTTCAATAATATCAGAAATATCAATAGCTGTTATTGTACAGATAACACATTAATCGTGGGATAAAAGGAAAAATTATCTGCCCAACACAAGAAAAGATATTTCACTTTTTGTGGTTTTACAACATGGGGTCTATGGGGAATCTCCCCGACCTAGAAGTCACATTTCCAAAGAAAATTAAATTTTCAAAGTTGATAAACACTTTTCAAAACCACATTTCTAAATGTAATTTTACATGTAGATTCCAAATATGACATCAGTTTGACCGAATTGTGAATTTTAATGACGTAAATCAAGATTATCTCGCATCTGGGATATTGACTTCACAAAATGAATGACAAAAGTGACCTTTGACTTTTAGGTCAAAAGCAGAAGCAAAATGAAGATTACTCCATTGTCACATTGTTAGATGTATGGATTGAAAATGTCATTCTTGCATGCTTAAATATTCCATGATTCCATTGCTTTTCTTTGTAATATACGAGGGGTGATCCAAAAGTCTTGGACGCCCCGCTCTAACTTTGCTATTTTTTAATATAATTACATGAAACTTTCAGATAATAAAGATCAACATTTTAACAACTTTATGTATAAGTTTCAACAGAAAATAATATATTTTAGCTACTTATCTACATATCTTTTAATACCAGGTCCCTGCCACCCGGAACGGTATTTAAATATAGCAAATCACGTCACAACTGTTATAATATGGCAAATACTTTAGGTGCAGGTACACAACCTAACACCAGCCATGATATGAGAGAATTTTCGATTTTCAATCTGAGTGTCATCTGTCATTATCATCTTCACATATTAAGACCTACTTTTGAACATATTTTCCACGAATTTGAACACATTTTTCATACCACTTTACCAAAGAATGGGCGACATTTATGAAACCGCCATTGCTTATGTGATACAAATGCTTCTGGAGTGCTACTCTAAACCTCATTCAATGGGTAAAAAACATTTTCTTTCAACCCTCCTTTCAACTTGGAGAAAAGGAAGAAAATCACATGGAGCCATAGATAGACTGTATCGTGCATATGGTACACTGGCGGATATGGGGGGGGGGCCCAGGGGCCCGGGCCCCCCCCCCCCTTGGGTGGGCCCAGAAAAAAAAAATTGTGCCCAAAAAAAATTTTAAGTAGGCCTTTTTGGTCATAAATTGGCCTTATAAGGCCTTATTTGTTAATTTTAGGCCAAATTTTGAAGAAAATGGGCCTCAAAATTTCAAAATTTGGGCCCACTTTTGGGTTTATGGGGCCCAAAGTTTTTTTCTCAGACCACAAGTTTGGGCCCCCCCCCCTTGTTGGTTCCCAGATCCGCCCCTGTGGTAGCTGCTCAAGGTCAGTAATAGTGAAAATATCTTGTAGTATTCTTTGTTCCACTTTGATTTCTTTCGTGTTCTGCATTTCAGCAGCCATCTTGCAGCAAAAATGATACCAGAATGAGGGTTGCTTGTCTGATGGCATTTTCTTAGAATTTGACATGTGCGGCCATTGTCATATGTGACATTATAATTAAAACACAATTAATTGGTTGCCTAGTACTAAAGGAAGTAAACTAACATGGTTTAATATTCAAAATTCAAAGAAATATAGTGGTCAAGACTTGCGAAACAAGTGAAATGGCGGTAACATTTAAGGCTGACAGTTGCCATGTGCGAATACCGTTCCGGGTGGCAGGGTCCCTGTATTAAAAACTATCTAGAAAACTATATAAAATATATCATTTCTCCATGAAATTAACACACAAAGTAGTTAGGTTGTTGGTCTTTATTATTGGAAAGTTAAAAGTAATTTTATCAAAAACCAACAAAAATAGAGCAGGGCGTCCAAGACTTTTGGATCACCCCTCGTAAATGATCATTTTCCTATATAATTAGAAACATTGTTATATTGCTGTTATCCTGCTTTATCCTTGCCAAGTTCAGTTAATTCAATTCATTTTGCTTTAATGTTTCTCTTTTCAGGAGAGTTTGATTTTGAATCTTAAAGGGATTTGTCTTGACTCT